TACGGTACCGACATCCCCCCCCGCCCCTCCCCACCCCCGTTACCGCCAGGCCCCGAGCCCCCTCGGAACCCCCCCGGAGCCTCCCCGGTGCCCTCCCCGTGGCCCCCCATGGCCCCCCGGTAGGGCGAGGCCCGACCATCCATCCCCCCCCGGAGCAGTGATGGGAACGTCCGTGGGCTGAGCCCCCCCAGGTACCTCCGGGGGTCGCACGGGGGGGAGGGAAGGGGGAGGGGGAATTGGGAGGCACAGGAAGGGGGGCTCTGGGCGATGCTGGGCTGTACTGGGATGGACTGGGCGGTGCTGGGGCTGTATTGGCTTGTACTGGGCTTTACTGGGTTGTGTTGTTCTGTACTGGGATGTACTGGGCCAAACTGGTCTGTGCTGGGCTATACTGGGATGTACTGGGTCATACTGGACTGTACTGTCATGCAGCGGCCTGTACTGGGCCATGCTGGGCCATACTGGGCTGCACTGGGCTGAGCTGCCCTGTAGTGGCCTAGACTGGGCCTTGCTGGACTGTACTGGGCCGTACTGGGCTGGGCTGTCCTGGGTCTGTATTTGGTCTGTATTGGTACATACTGGTCTGTACTGGGCTGTGACATATCTGTGGTGGTGTGTATTGGGCCACACTGGGCTGTGCTGGGCTTTACTGGGATGTACTGCTCTGTACTGGGCCACATTGGGCTGTTGGGCTGTACTGGGTTGTACTTGGCTATACTGGGATGTACTGGGCCTGTACTGGGATATGCTGAGTCTTACTGGGTCATACTGGACCATACCGGTCTGGACTGGGTCTGGACTAGGCTATGCTGCCCCATATTGGTCTGTACTGGTCCATACCTGGCCGTGAACTCCTGTGCTTGTCCATACTGGGCCGTGCTGGGATCTATGGGGCCACACTGGAACGTGCTGGATCAGACTGGGCTGTACTGGGTCATACAGGTCCATCCTTGGCCATACTGGGCTGTGATGGCCTATACTGGCTTTTACTGGGCTGTACTGGTTTGTACTGGTCCATGGTGGGCTGTGCAGCCTGTACAGGCTCCCACTGGGCTACACTGGGTTGTACTGGGCCATAATGGGTCATACTGGGCTGTGCTGGGCCTCATTAGACCCATGGATGGGTCATGGATGCTCTGGAATATGAGCAGGGGATACTGGTCTGGACTGGGCTGAACTGGGCCATACTGGTGGGGTGTGTGGAGCCGTACCAGGCCACACTGGGCTGTGTGCTGCTGTACTGGTCTGTACTGGTGGATAGATACGGGTCTATACTGGTCCGTACTGGCCCCTCCCCTGTCCCCACAGGCCCCGCGGTGACGCCCAGACGGGACCAACATGGAGCCCTGAGAGGAGGTAATGGGATCATTGGGATCTCCCTGGAGCTGATGGGAACACGGGATCACTGGGATCCCATGGGAACACACAGGGTACATGGGATCTCATGGAGTACCATGGGATCTCATGGGACAAATGGGATCTTATGGGGTCTTTTGGGATCTTGTGGGATCTCCTGGGTCAGGCGATACCCCACAGAAACACATCGGGCATATGGGGTGCACCAGGATTCCAAGGGATCTCAAGGGGATCTGAGGGGATCTGATGCGATCCGACAGGTCCAGGTGGGATCTGACACATCCTGGGAGGCCGGGCAGGGTCCCCCGACTCCCCCCCAGCACCCCCTGACCGCCGTCTCCCCCCCGCAGGCGCCGCCGTGGGATGGCGAAGCTGCTGGTGCCGCTGGTGGTGCTGGGGGCGGTGGCGGGCGGGGCCCCCCCGGCCGCCCCCCGGTGCCCCCCGCGCTGCCTGTGCCCGGCGGCGGCGCCGAGCCCGACGCTGCTCTGCGCCCGCACGGGGCTGCTGGCGGTGCCGCCCAGCCTGGACCGGGGGGCCGTGGAGCTGCGCTTGGCCGACAACTTCATCGGCGCCGTGGGCCGTGCCGACTTCGCCAACATGAGCTCGCTGGTGCACCTGACGCTGTCGCGGAACGGGCTGCGCCGCCTGGCCCCCGGCGCCTTCGCCGACCTGCGCGCCCTGCGCGCGCTGCACCTCGATGGCAACCGGCTGCCGGCGCTCAGCGGGCCCCAGCTCCGCGGGCTGGCCAGCCTGCGCCACCTCATCCTGGCCAACAACCAGCTGGCCACCATTGACGCCGCCGCCTTCGCCGCCTTCGCCGCCACCGTGGAGGACCTGGACCTGTCGCACAACAACCTGCCGGCGCTGCCCTGGGACGCCGTGGCCGCCATGGCCAGCCTGGCCACGCTCACATTGGACCACAACCTGCTGGAGCGAGTGCCGGCGGGCGCCGTTGCGCGGCTGCCGCGGCTGGCGCGGCTCGACCTCACGGCCAACCGGCTGCGGGCGCTGCCGCCCGTGCCGGGGCCGCCGGGGCCGGCGCTGGCGGCCGGGGGGAACCCCTTGCACTGCAACTGTGAGCTGCTGTGGCTGAGGCGTGTGGCGCAGCCAGGACGCCTGGAGACCTGCGCCACTCCGGCGCCGCTGGCCGGGCGACTGCTGGGCGCCGTGCCCGAGGAGGAGCTCACGTGCCGGGCTCCCGCCGTCACCGCCGCAGCCGCCCACCCACCCGCCGTCACCGAGGGGCAGCCGCTGCGCCTGGGCTGCGCTGCCGTCGGGGACCCCCCACCCGCGCTACACTGGCTGGGCCCCGATGGGCGCGTGGTGCACAATGGCTCTCGGCGCTCCGTGGGCGCCGACGGCTCCCTGGAGCTGCGCGTGGCCACCCTGCGCGACCACGGCGGCTTCACCTGCGTGGCTGCCAATGCCGCGGGAGAGGCGGCCGCACGCGTCGACGTCGTGGTGGTGCCGCTGCCAGTGCCGCGCAGGGAGCGCGATGGAGACGACCCTGAGCTCGGGCCCGGCCCCTCTGACATGGCCAGGGCAGGGGGCAACGAGACCTTTGGGGGGGGGGTGCCCGGGGAGCGGCGGGTGGTGGCGGCCGAGGTGACGGGGTCCTCGGCGCGCATCCGGTGGCTCCCCCAGCGCCACGTGCCCGGAGTCCGGATGGTGCAGATCCAGTACAACAGCTCGGCCGACGACGCCCTCGTCTACAGGTGGGGGCTCCTGCGGGGAGGGGGGGTCCTGGGGGGCTTGAGGG